TTTCGACATCTCTGAAGATGCATCCAAAGTAATCTTGAAAAGTGAATTCGAAGGGAATCTGGGCGAAGATCGTCTATCCTCCGAAAGGAATCGTCTTTACATATTCTTTTTTCCTTTTTCAAAAAAAAAAAAAAAAAAGGCCGCCCAAGAGAAGATCGTGAAACAATTGCAACACCAATTGAACGAGACCCAAGGCAAACTGGAGGAGGTGAACCGCACGTTGAACGATTTCGATGCCGCGAAGAAGAAATTGTCGATCGAGAACAGCGATCTGTTGAGGCAATTGGAGGAGGCCGAGTCCCAGGTGAACCAATTGTCGAAGATCAAGATATCGCTGACGACCCAGCTCGAGGACACGAAGCGATTGGCCGACGAGGAATCGAGGGAACGGGCGACCCTCCTCGGCAAGTTCCGCAACTTGGAGCACGACTTGGACAATATTCGGGAGCAGGTGGAGGAGGAGGCCGAGGGTAAGGCGGATCTCCAGAGGCAGTTGAGCAAGGCGAACGCCGAGGCCCAGAAGAACATAAAGAGATACCAGCAACAGTTGAAGGACGTGCANGCGGTTGGCCGAGGCCGAGGAGACGATCGAGTCGTTGAACCAGAAGGTGCTCGCGTTGGAGAAGACGAAGCAGAGATTGTCGACCGAGGTGGAGGACTTGCAGATCGAGGTGGACCGCGCGACGGCGATCGCGAACGCCGCGGAGAAGAAGCAGAAGGCGTTCGACAAGATCATCGGCGAATGGAAGCTCAAAGTGGACGATCTGGCGGCGGAACTGGACGCCAGCCAAAAGGAATGCCGCAATTACAGCACGGAATTGTTCAGGCTCAGAGGTAAAAATCTCTTCTTCTCCTCTCTCTCTCTCTCTCTTATCTCTCTTTATTATTACCTCGTTCCCAACGCCGATCTTTCGTTTCGAAGGCGCGTACGAGGAAGGGCAGGAACAATTGGAGGCGGTGCGCCGCGAGAACAAGAATCTGGCCGACGAGGTGAAGGATCTGTTGGACCAGATCGGCGAGGGAGGGCGAAACATTCACGAGATCGAGAAGGCGAGAAAGCGGTTGGAGGCTGAGAAGGACGAGCTCCAAGCAGCCCTCGAGGAAGCGGAGGCCGCTTTGGAACAGGAGGAGAACAAAGTGTTGCGCAGCCAACTCGAGTTGAGCCAAGTGAGACAAGAGATCGACCGCCGCATCCAAGAGAAGGAGGAGGAATTCGAGAATACCAGGAAGAATCACCAACGCGCCCTCGACTCTATGCAAGCGTCGCTCGAAGCCGAGGCCAAGGTTCCCTTAATTTTCCCCTCTTCTCCTTTCGTCTTCTCGCGACGATTACGACGACGACGATAACGATAATTAATAAATAATTCGCAGGGTAAAGCCGAGGCGCTGCGCATGAAGAAGAAGCTGGAGGCGGACATCAACGAGTTGGAGATCGCTCTGGATCACGCGAACAAGGCGAACGCCGAGGCCCAGAAGAACATAAAGAGATACCAGCAACAGTTGAAGGACGTGCAGACGGCGCTGGAGGAGGAGCAGAGGGCGCGCGACGAGGCGAGAGAGTTGCTAGGGATTTCGGAACGGCGGGCGAACGCCCTCCAAAACGAGCTCGAGGAGAGCCGTACCCTTCTCGAGCAAGCGGATCGCGGACGCCGCCAGGCCGAGCAAGAGTTGGCCGACTGCCACGAGCAGTTGAACGAGCTGGGCGCCCAGAACGCCTCCATCTCCGCCGCCAAGAGGAAACTCGAGGCCGAGCTTCAGACCCTTCACGTGAGTCTTATCCTCCGTCTCTCCTCTCCTCTCCCTCGCCTCTGACAAGCCAACCACTTTCTTTGCAGTCCGACTTGGACGAGTTGTTGAACGAGGCGAAGAACTCCGAGGAGAAAGCGAAGAAGGCGATGGTGGACGCCGCGAGATTGGCCGACGAGCTTCGAGCCGAGCAGGATCACGCCCAGACCCAGGAGAAGCTTCGCAAAGCCCTCGAGACCCAGATCAAGGAGCTTCAGGTACGTTTGGACGAGGCCGAGGCGAACGCTTTGAAAGGTGGCAAGAAGGCGATCCAAAAGTTGGAGCAACGCGTCCGCGAATTGGAGAACGAGCTCGACGGAGAGCAGAGGAGACACGCCGATGCCCAGAAGAATCTCCGCAAGTCCGAACGTCGCATCAAGGAGCTTAGCTTCCAGGTAAGTATACGTATATATATATACTACGATGCCTTGGAGAGAATCTTATATAAAACGTTTTTTGCAGGCCGACGAAGATCGCAAGAACCACGAGCGCATGCAAGATTTGGTCGACAAGCTGCAGCAGAAGATCAAGACGTACAAGAGGCAGATCGAAGAAGCGGAAGAGATCGCCGCTCTGAATCTCGCGAAATTCCGCAAAGCGCAGCAAGAGCTGGAGGAGGCGGAGGAAAGGGCGGACCTTGCCGAGCAGGCGATCACCAAGTTCCGCACCAAGGGACGCGGAGGAAGTGCCGCGCGTGGACTGAGCCCAGCGGTAAGCCCGTAGATTAACTTCCTTCGGCCCCTCAAAGTATTTTCACGTTCACGCCCTTTCTATCTTATTATCTCTTCTATGAGGCAACAGGAGATATTAAAATATTCTCCTCCCCCGAATTTTTCGAAATAACGCGGTTAGCAAAAGCATTTTCGTATACGAGAGCAAGTTTGAAGGAAAGAAGTAATATAAATAAAAATATTGTAAAGATATCGTCGAGAGATGGTTCGTGAGATCGTAGAGATCGAAAACGTGCGGCGTTTGAAGAGAGGAGATTAATTAATCGAAAAATCTGTGTGTCCCTGTATAGCCCCAACAGAAGGCCCGTAAGGCGCCCTCCGCATTGGAGTAAAGAGCATCGCGCCGGTCCATGTAAGTCTGTGCACGTGTCATAAGCACGTGTGTGTGGTGTCGAAAAGTGAAGAGAGATAGACAAAAAAAAATACAAGATAATAATTCTTCAACAAAAAAAAAAAAATATCACGTCACGCATATATATATATATACAGAGAATACTTTCCGAATCCCTGACCGAATCGGTCAATGTCTTCTATTTTTTTCTTTTTTTTTGAACCTGTGTGAAACGCTGATAACACCACTTCACAAGGGGCGCAACACCTTTTAAAGTATGAAGCTTGATCCCTTAATCGTTGATTAACGTTGTGCATTACCTTATCCCAACAACAAGTCGTGTTGATTGGTTGACCGGAATTTCCATAGAATTTAGAAAAACACGAATCATTGCTTGGCATTGATCATAGAGTTAGTTAAATGTTTAATTACGCGTGAATAAATCAATTTGTCTACGTATGTTTTTTTTTCTTTCATTTCACAAACACGATATATATATATGTATACATATCACGCCATCGATCACTTTTTTTTTCTTTTCTCTCGTCCAATCGAATATAGACGGAGAAAATGACCCATGAAAACAAGTAACGAGAGAGGTATCACGACCCTCGATCGATCGATGATAATTTCCCATTGTTGTTTATCGTTTGTTTTACACGGATCGATGATCCGCGATTACATAAATATTTGCAATTTTTCACGATGAAAAAGGACACATAGAGAACGTGTCGCTAAACATTTCTAAAATTGTTTTTCTTTTCTCTACGTGTATCGTGTAAAACGTGTATCCCGATTAAAAAGGAAAGATGGGATCAAGATGATTCTCTTCCTCCTTTTTTTTTTTTTTTTTAAATATTTTTAAGAGAAGAAGGAAAACGT